AGAGTGGAAAAATCATGGGGAAAAGGAGGGAAAAGGAATCCTCCTCCCCAAAGGTGGAAAAAACAAAAAAAAAAAACAAAAAAAAAAAAAAACCAAAAAAAAAAAAAAAAAAACAACCCACAAACACCACAACAACTCAGGGAAAGCTTGAACAGATCACTGGCAGGAGACAAAGCCCTCCACGGGCTGGGGGCACCGAAAATCCCCATGAGAGGGGGAGTCTGCCCTGGGGATGGAATGCCGAGTGTCCTCAAGGAATGGGAATGCCGAGTGTCCCCAAAGGATGGGAATGTCGGGTGTTCCCAAGGGATGGAAATGCCGGGTGTCCCCAGGGAACAGGAATGCTGAGTGTCCCAGGTTGGATGGGGTGCTGAGTGTCCCCAAAGGATGGGAATGTCGGGTGTTCCCAAGGGATGGAAATGCCGGGTGTCCCCAGGGAACAGGAATGCTGAGTGTCCCCAAGGAACAGGAATACCGAGTGTCCCGGTGGCCGGAGCTCTCCCGGCCGCGCTGTTTGCCGTGTGTTATTTGAGCATTCATCTTGTTCAAGCACCACTTTAGCGCCGCAGGACGGGCCCTATCTCGCAGAAAAGAACCGAGAGCCTTCCTCCCCCCCTCGTCCCTCACTTTCCCCCGGGCCTGGATTATCCCAAATAAACACTCACTTTGGGTAATCGTTAACTTTAATGGCCCGGCTGCAGCGGGAGGCTCGAGGGGTTGATATCCTCGGGGTACGGGAGATAAGGGCAGGGTTTGAAGGGCAGCGCTCGTGGCCGCTGTCACGGGAACATTCTGTGCCACCTTCCCCAAAATTCACTGCTGGAGCTCTCCCCGGCGTTTTCCGGCGGGTGTTGGGAGCCAGGATTTGCCCCGCGGGTCGCACCCGGGGATGGCTTTGCCGCAGCCACCAGGAGCCACACGCGTGTCCCGAGGCCACAATCCTCTGCCGAGCCCCGGGGACACCGCAGGACCCGCCCGGCCGCTCCTTCTCGCTGTAATTGTGTTTTCCCGAGTCAATGGATAACTTTACAGCCCGGGCCCTGGGCACATCAAACACAACAGCCCACATCTGCCCGGGGAGATGTCGGGACAGTAAAGTTCAAAATTAAAGCCACCTTCAAAGTCACTGCCAGGCTGGAGGGGCATCTCCAGGGCCCTTCCAGATCCCCAGGGAAGCTGGGCTGGGGTTTTTCCCCCTGCATCCCAGCAGACCGTGAGCACAGGGTGGCACTGAGCAGGATCTTCGCTGTCCCGTGGGACCTTCCAGCTTCTCCCTCTGGAATCACCCGGGGAGCAGAGGAATGACAGAGCCTCCCCCAGGGGGTTTCTCATGTTTTCCAGGTCCTGGACACAGCGTGGTGGCATCAGCATCGCTTCCTTCTGAATTCCAAGAAGAAAGCCGGGAGGAGTCTCCCGTTGGTGCTGTCACCTCCTGGCCGTGCCCTGGGAGACCGTGTGGCCGCCTCCAGGCTTCCCCCAGGATTTTACCCCTCCCTCTCCCTCCTGCTTCCCTTCCTGTCCTTGACCAGCGGGATCTCGGCATTCCTGGAGCTTTAACACCCGGCAGGAACAGTCTGTGCATCGGCCCAGCTTTTACAGCCCTTGCCTCATCATCAGCACAAAAAAGGCCGGGAAGGGGATGGTGACAGGGGGACACTGAAGGGAGGGAGAGCCATGGGGTGGGAAAGGGAGCAGGGCTTTTTGGGATCCTGCTCTGCTGAGACCCTGCTGAGGAGTGAGCCTGAACTTCCATCTGAGCCCTGTCCCAGATCTGGCACTGCTCAAAGCAGAGGTTCCAGGGAGGAGCTGGCCCAGAGGGACCCCAGCCAGGTGACACCTCTCCAGTGGGACCCTCTCCGGGGTTTCCCCACTTCGGGAGGACACTTCAGGTTCTCAAGCAAACAGCCACCCTCAAACCTCCCTGATATCCCCAATATTCACTGTCCTGGTGACTTCACCAGGAACAGCCCGGTGGCACAGCCGTGTCCCCAAGGACAGGAGGGGGTCAGGGAGTGTTCAGGTGTCTTGTCCCTGGCTTGTCCCTCTCCCTCTCCTGGCTCTGCTCCAGCTCCTTCCAGAATCTGTGGATGCCCCATTTCTCTTCTCAGGATAAAGAATGGGAGCACATAAAAGTGAGGGGATCAAAAACAAGGGTTGTGCCCCCCACCCCGTCCCTTTACATGGCACGGGGACACGGACAACTCCAGGCTCACACTGTCCATGGACCCTTCCCTGCCTGGACACCCATTTCCCCAATAAAAAAGTTTTATTCCCCCTTTCCTTGCACCTGGAAAGGCAGGGCGTGAAGGCAAGAAAAGTTCTTGGAGCAGGAAGGACCAGAAGCCAGACCAGGTCTGCAGATGATAAAATTTTATTACAAAATAGGACACGGATCAATATTCCTGGAAAAGAAATCTTCCCTCCCACATTTTTCAGGTCCCAATTTCTTCCCCATTGTGTTCATCTTGGATAATAAAGGATCACCTGGGAGAACCCATGAGGTCACACAGCACTTTTGGCCTATTTACAGCGATTTTCTCCCCGTTATCAAACAGAGATGAGGCACCCACATTCCAGCGTTTGATCCACTCCTTGCAAAGGGGTGGACATTTCCAAAATGTCCCAGGGGTCTGGGGATGGAGGGACCTTCATTTGTCACGAGTGTCACGTGGCTCCAGCAGCACCACTCCCCTTTCCCCAGCTTTCTCCCCAAAAACAGCTGCCCTTGGCCACTAATACAAACCAGAGCTCTGTCCATAGAAAAATAATAAAAGCTGAGGATTTGCTGTGGTTTTCATTTTTAAAAACAAAATATTGTTGCATAGAGAAGCATTTGCATGTGAGGAGTTTGCATACAGAGCAGCGGGTGGGTGCTAAAACACTTCTGCCCCTCATCAGGTAAAAGAAAAAAATATATATATATATTTATATATTTACACACACAGAGTCCAGGGGAGGACAAGTAGAGGCTGTAGGGAAAAAGATTCCCAAGAGTAGCAGGGAAATTATGTCCAATTCCCCTCGGATTTCAAGCTGCCTGTTGGTGGGTTTGGCTTTGTACTGGGTTTTAGCAAACTGGTTTTGGGCTCCATCAGCATCACAGGGTGGGGGAAAAGGGGAACTAGGGGTGGGAAGAGGAGGTTTCCTTCTCCAAAGGCAGAGGGGGGTGAAGAGACCCTCTGAGAGGGCCATGGGTGGGGCTGATGGTGACACACGTGGGGACCCTGTGCCTTGGAGTTTGCTCCTGCACTGGGGAGGTCCAACCACAAGAGACACCCCAAAAAACCATCTTGGACTGTGGAGGTTGGTGCTGAGGGCTGGAAAACTGCTCCCACTGCTGGGAAAGCCATCCAACAATTCCATGGCCTTTCCCCCCTGCACTCCCACCCTCCCTGGCTGAGGACCCACAGGGAGGAGTCACTGCAGAGCTGGACCAGCATCCATCCCAAAGCCAACACACACCACAGACCCCAACTCCTTCCTGCCCTCCTCTGCTGTCAAACAGACCCATGGCACTGGTTCTGTTTATCCAAGGAAAAGGCCAAGCAGGAACCCAGCAGTGGCTCTGGCAACAGCAGAGAGGAGTGGCCTCCAAATTCCAGCCGACCATGCCATGGTCCAGCCTGGCCCCTCATCCCACACATAAACCTGTGAGTCACCCAAATTTATCCAAGTAGAAACAAGAGAGGAGGAGGAGAGTGTGGAACAAATCAATGTTCTGCTGGACACAGCAGACCCATTATTTGGTCCTGATTCATTTACAAAGCTCACAGCTGGTCTTGGAACTGGCTCTTGTTGTGCCCAAATTTAACCCCTGGAAGGCTTTGGAGAATGGGGATGTGCATCCCATGGGATGGGGGAAGGAGCTTAGGGAGCCAGAGGAGGTGAACCTGTGAGGTAGTCATATGATTCCACTCTGAACAGCAGGATTTATTGGAATTTGTTTCCAAGATGTTTTTTCCCCCTGGGTGTAGTTTTTTATCCCATCTAATGGAATGGCAACAGCACAGGCCTGGTGGGACCAGCAGCCACCGAGTCCTTGTGAGATTCTGGAGAGGGGCACTGCTGGTGGATTCTGGGACACCAGACCTTCAGCAGTGGCTCTTATGCTGTCCCCGGGTGGCTTCAAACCCACGCTGGTCCTCCCAGACACACCTGAAGTCCAAATTCCTCTTGGAAGCAGAAATGCTAAGGACACAATCACAAAAACCTGGCCAGGCAGGGCAGGTGCTCACAGTTCCAAGCTGGCTGCCAGGAATGGGCTCAGTGGGACACAGGTGACGCTTTTGTCACCTGCTTTTGTGCTGCCCCTTGTTTGAAGGGTGAGTTTGTCACAGGTCTGTTCTTCTGTGCCCCCACAGAGACTGGGATTGTCACTGCCAACAGTCCTGGGCACGGCTCCTGTTCTGGCACAGCACTGGTGCCACATCCATGGTCACACCATGGGAGACAGGGTCACATCCATGGTCACACCCTGGAACCAGTGCCATATCCATGGTCACACCATGGCACCAGGGTCAATCCATGGTCACACCATGGGACAAGGTGCCATGTCATGGTCACACAGTGTCATATCCATGGCTATGCCATGGGACTGTCCAAGAGAGTCCAGGTGAGAGCTGTCACAGCCAAGCTGTCACATCCTCCTGGGCCTCACTAAAACAGCAAAACCTATCCCAAAGGGCCTTAAGACACGAAGTCGCTCCTGAGTGACAAATAAATAGCAGGATTGCCAGAAGAAAGCCCTTGGGCATCCAGGCTCCAGCATCCCAGTGCCACCAGGAGCCTCGTCAGGAGCTCAGGCTGCAATCAGGGCTCGTTTGAGGTGAGCTGGGTGGGTTCCAGTCTCTGGTAAAACCAGACAGCGTCAGGGCCGGGCTGGCAGGGCTCTCCTGCCGCCTCGGTGACGGCAGCACGGGGTCGTTCCTATGTACAGGTCCTTCCCTGGGAGAAGGGAAGAGTTTGAGCTGCTCTTGGAGAAGTGGGAAGGGAGGCAGCTCCTAATTCTGGTGCCTCTTCATGTGCAGGGCCAGGTGGTCGGAGCGGGAGAAGCAGCGGCCGCACGCCAGGCACTTGAAGGGTTTGGCCCCCGTGTGCTTGCGGTAGTGCCGCGTGAGCTCGTCCGAGCGGGCAAAGCGCCAGTCGCAGCCTTCCCACGTGCACTTGTAGGGCTTCTCACCTGCCCGGGGGACAGCACAGGTCACACGTGTGCCCAGCCCCCCAGAAACCCCCCTGGCCTCTGGAGATGCCCCCCGTCATTGGCACTGCCAGGGCTCCCCAGCGTGCACAGCCCAGGGCTGCTGAGGGAACATGAGCTGCACCACACCGGTCTTGTCCCTCCTCAACCCCTGCCCAGCCTCCCAAAAACACCCCCAAGCCTCTGGGAGACACCCAATTTCCTTGGCACTGCCAGAGCTCCCCAGGGCACACAGCCCAGCGCCACCAAGGGACTGAGCTGCACCAACCAGGTCCTGCCCCTCTTCACCTCCTCCCACTTTGCCTTCTGGTGCTCTTCAAGCTCCTGCTGGATTTTGGAGCATTTCTGGCTAAAAACAGCTTGTAAATTAGGTTGGTTTTTTTTTAAATAAAAACCCAGAAATACCTAAGGAAGCTATGAGTGGTGGGAGGCACCAGGAGGAATTCCTGCTGGATTTTGGAGTATTTCTGGCTAAAAACAACTTGTAAATTAGGTTGGTTTTTTTTTTTAAATAAAAACCCAGAAATACCTAAGGAAGCTATGAGTGGTGGGAGGCACCAGGAGGAAGACAGGGCTCTAAATCTAAATTTCAATCTGAAAAATAAATTTTTTTTGAAACTGCCATCCAATGTTGGTGGCCGCCCAGTTCCTGGGAATGCTCAAGGCCAGGTTGGATGGGGTTTGGAGCAACCCGGTCTAGTGGAAGATGTCCCTAAAGGATCAGATAGCCTTTAAAGACCCCTCCCAAAGCCAAACAATTCCAGGATTCCATGACCTAATGCTCCACACCTCCGAGTTCCCCTGCCAGCAGCTCTGTACACAACCTATTGTGTTTCCCTCAGCGCATTCAGGTGATGTCATCCCCGTGCCCTCTCCCCCTCCCTCCCAAACACACCCATTCCCAACCGAAATCCATTCAACCAGGCACCTTCACAGCCAGCTGGGAACTGGGCTGGAAAAGCTGACGGCTGCTCCCAGCCAGGCCACGGGGCTGAGCCCTGGCTGCAGCCCGGTCCCCACGCAGGGCGTGGTGCTCTCAAATATTAGTGCCGCTCTTAACAGCCTGAACAGGCAGGCAGAGTTCAGGGAATGTGCTGACATTCCCGACCTCAAATATTTACCCTTCCCGGGGCCAACTGCCGGGCGCAGCGGCGCGGCGGGAGCGCACGTCCGCACGCAGCACGCGTGCACGGGCATGTGTGCCCTGCCCTGCCGTGCTTCCAGGGATTCCTTCCTCCCCAGGCTTCCAGGGAGACCTTCCTCCACAGGCTGCTCCACGGAACCAGGGAATCCTGGAACAGCTCAGCTTGGAAAAGACCATAAAGCCCTTCGTGTTCCACCCTGCCCAGACCAGCTTCCACCAACTTCCAGGTTTTCCGACAGCAGTGTCTAGGGATTCCTTCCTCTCCTTGCTCTCAGGGAGCCCTTCATCCCACAGGTTGCTCCACAGAGCCAGGGAATCCTGGAACGGCTTGTCTTGGAAGAGACCTTAAAGCCCATCTTCCCCAGACCAGGTTCTACTAGACCACGTTCCACCTTCCACTAGACCCAAGTCCTATCCAACCTGGCCTTGAACAATTCCAGGGCTGGGAATGCCACGTTTGGCCAGGGAAGTGAAATCAGCCACAGCAAGGTCTACAGTGCCTTGCCTGCAGTGGATAAAACACAAAAACATGGATACATGGACCTTGAGGAGGCAGAGCAGCACGAGCACATCCTGCTCCTCCAAAAACCCCTGGATGCTTCTCCATGGGAAAGGGAGAAGGGAGAGGGATTTTTATGGCTCAGGTAAACACAGCACTTGCAGAGGATTTACAAGGAGTTGGTGGGGGTTTTATGGGACTCGGGACATACCAAGACAAAGGTAGGATTTTCCCAAAGGCAGGATTTGCCCAAAGTTAGGATTTGCCCCAAGATAGGATTTTCCCAAAAGAGGGATTTTCCCAAAGGCAAGATTTGCCCAAAGTTGGATTTGCCCCAAGGTAGAATTTTCCCCAAAGCAGGATTTTCCCCAAGGCAGGATTTGCCCCTTGCAGCCCAGACCTTGTCCCCTCCAGGTCACCTGGCTGGGTCAAGCCCACCGAAGCCCTTTGCTTTCAAACAATGCCAGGTGGATGTCCAGGACAGGAACCCAAGGTTTCCCATTGTCCTGGGTTTCCCATTGTCCCGGAGCTGGCTGCCTCTCCCAGGACAGCACGGCAGGGCGGGCTCAAACAAAGGATCCGAGGTGGCATTCCCGCCCCGGGGGTTTATGTTTAACCTCACAATGGCACCCAGGAAATGAATGGCGGCTCCAGCAGAGGAAAACAGCCGGCCATGGCAACGGAAACCACAAGGAAAGAGCTCCCACACCAGGGACTTCTCAGGCAGGGAATGGGAGAAGGGACATTTTTAACCCTTCGGGTGGTGAAGCTGAGGCAGGATTTGGGGTGAGCCCTTGCTCTTGCAGCTCTGGTGAGGACCTCAGCAAGGATAAGGCCGCCAAAGCAAAACACGAGGCTTAAAAACATTGGATGCAGAGATCCTGGGTCAAGACTGTAGGATGGCTCTGGATTGGATTCCTTCCTTTTTGCTCATCCCATGCCACCACCAGGGTCCTGACACCTTCCCTCACCTCTCCACCCTTCCTTCTAAGAGCAGGGGAAGGAAAGGAGGCAAAGCCATTTGGATTTCCTGCCTGATTACTGGGAAACCTGGAGAAACCACTGAGTTTTCCTGGATTTCACACCCACCCAAGTTTTCCTGGGTACATCTTTATATGTGATAGGTAAGGAGGTGCCCAACTCATGGATCCTGTCCTGGGCGCAGAGCTCCCAACAGAAGGGACAAGAGAAATTTAATTTAATTTTAAAGCCTTGATTCCAGACTGTGATAAACCCCTATCAGCACGTAGCTCTGGGACGACATCCTTCCTGTTCCTTTTTTTCCACCCCTTCCGTGCTGTTTTCCAGCCCCCTCGTGCCCAGCCCCTGCCAAAGAAACACTGTGGCTCACGCACAAGGCGAAATTCTTTGTTTGAAGGGCTGATAAGGGGAGGAAGGAACGGAGCCAAGAGCAAGAAGCAATTCCCAGCCACAGAACGGGGTTTGGTCGTTGTTCATAAAAAAGAGAAGTGAACTCTGGGCCTGGCTTAATTGCTCTCAGTAAAGATCAGCCCTCCTATAAAAGAGATTTATGAGGGCACTGATGGTTCCTGGACTACCTGGGGATCTGATAATGTTTCAGGTATAATAAATGCCTTAATGAGGGCGCCGGGGCTTGAATGCAGAGTGTCACGGAGCTGGGATCAGCCCAGGGGAGCTGTGCTGGGGCTGCTCTGAGCTGGGCTCCCTGTGGCACCCTCAGCAAGGGGGCACAGCCCAAAGAAAGCTCAAGGGAAGAGCTCAGAGTGACAAAAAAATTAAAGAATCAAAGAACAGATCAGGGTGGGAGGGACCTTAAACCCATCTTGCATCACGGTAACTTCCACTGTCCCAGGCTGCTCCCAGCCCCAGTGTCCAGCCTGGCCTTGGGCACTGCCAGGGATCCAGGGGCAGCCACAGCTGCTCTGGGCACCCTGTGCCAGGGCCTGCCCACCCTCACAGCCAGGATTTCCTTCCCAATATCCCATCTAACCTTGCCCTTTCTGGGGGGCTTTGGTACCTCAGGCTGGCAGCATTTCCTGGAGCTGCTCTTACCTGTGTGAGTCCTCTGATGCGCCTTCAGGTGGGAGCTCTTGGTGTAAACCTTTGAGCAACCTGCAAGGACAGAAAAAAGCACAATTTCCCTGTGAGAAAGGGGCCCTTGCTCAAACAAACTCTGATTTGAGGGGAGGGACACAACTGGGCCATGCAAATAAGCCTGGCTTGGGCTCAGCACTAAGGAGTGTCTGCTCTTAGACAGAGAGACTTTAACACCTTCTCCTGCCACCCACTGGAATTGTGCTGGGAATTAGGTGGGGGGACAGTCAAGCACAGAAGTTCAAACCCTCCTTCCACCAGCAGGATGAAAAGACTTGATTCCCCCACGATTCTGGCTTTGTGCTGCCCCGTCTCTCTGGGCTCCGCTCACTGCTGACATGACTTTGCAAGGCTGGGTTTTGTAACAGTCCTGGCCCAGCAGACGTGGTACCAGTGTTCCAGGAAGCAGGAAACAGCCAGGGACAGTCACAACTTGGCTTCCAGGTCCCAGAGCAGAGCCAGGGGGAAGTGTTTTCACAAGACCAGCACGAACAGGTTTCATCAAAGACAGGGTTTAACAGAAACACCGTGACTGGGGAACAGTTCCAACAGCAGGTATCTCAAAAGGAGTCAGTTTAACTCCTCTGAGGTTTAAGCTGGATCAAGCTTAAGGAAGTCTCTACTGCCCTTTGTGGCCCTGCTGCTTTGTGTTTTGATGAGGACATTCAAATATTAATTTGCATTTTTATGACCTGCACAAGCAGCATGGGGATATTTTTCATCCCAGTGTTTCCACCCAGCCCAGAGGAGCCTCCTGCTCAGGATCAGCCCTTGGTCTTTTCCTGCTCAGGAGGGGCAGGAGCTGCTTTTCCCCTCCTTGGTAGGAGGGACAAGGGGTGGTGGCCCCATTCAGTTTTGCCTCTGGGGCTCTGAAGCTTTGGCAGCCCCTCACATCTGGGAGAGAGATCATGGAATGAAGGAATAGTTCGGGTGGGAAGGAAGAAAAGCTCTTCCCATTCCATGGGCAGGGACACCTTCCACTATCCCAGGCTGCTCCAAGCCCCATCCAGCCTGGCTTTGGACACCTCCAGGGATCCAGGGGCAGCCACAGCTGCTCTGAGCACCCTGTGCCAGGTCTGCCCACCCTGCCAGGGAACCATTCCTGCCCAATATCCCATCCATCCCTGCCCTCTGGCAGTGGGAAGCCGTTCCCTGTGTCCTGTCCCTCCATCCCTTGTCCCAGGTCATTCTCCAGCTCTCCTGGAGCCCCTTTAGGCCCTGGAAGGTTCTGGATGGGGCTTTACCAACAGGTCTCCCATGTTCATCTGGTTCCAGGTGTGCAGTCTCCAAGCCCCTCTCACTTCCTCACAGAGACCAGGTTGGTGAGATTCCCTCACCATTATTCCTGATCAGAGTCACCTCCAGCTGAACCTTTGAGGGAGGGATCACATGGATGCCTGCTCCATCTCTGCATGGGATTTATTCAGCAAAGATTGGGGGATTTTTTCTTTTCACCATAGACCAAAATCCTGCTAAAAGCAACTTTGCCTTGGTGCAAATCCTGCAGGATGAGCCTCTGAGCAATCAGGCATGAGGAGTGTGTCTCAGGTCTAACTCCACCTTTCATGCCTTCACCATGACCAGCAGAAGGTAAAAAATTCAGCACAAGGCATCAACCACTGGCAGCTTGTGGCTCAGAAAGTCCCTGATCCACAGAGTGCCACAGAGTGGGAAGGTGTAAGCACGGAAAGATCTCTCTCAACATGCCCTGTTCTTATGCAGCTCCTGGCATCATGGCTGGAGACAGGATCTGGAGCAGGCAGAGCCTCTGGGCTGGCCTCCAGCCACTCCCATGCCAGGGAAAGGGTCAGTAACTCTCACTGAGGCAGTTAGGAAGTGACTTTCCTCATTCACACACCCCCACGGGAAAGCTGTTTGCTAATCCACAGCTGGTCAGCCCTGAGGATCAGCCCAGGAAGTGGGAGGTGTGTCCTGGCCTGGGAGTGGCTCTCACTGGCATCTCTCAATGGGATTTGCTTCGCTGGTGTGTGCAATGGAATCCCAGACTGGTTTGGGTTGGAAGGAAAGCTCATCCAAGTTTCAACCCTGCCATGCCCAGGGACACCTTCCCCTGTCCCAGGCTGCTCCAAGCCCCAGTGTCCAGCCTGGCCTTGGACACTGCCAGGGATCCAGGGGCAGCCACATCTGCTCTGGGCTGATCCCCAGCTTGAGGGCTTGGAGCAAACTGGGACAGGAAGGTGTCCCTGTCCATGGCAGGTGGTGGGATGACATGGCCTTTAAACATCCCTTCCAACCCAAAGCAAGCCATGAATGCCCTTCCACAGCTCCTGCTGCAGCACATGGAGCCATGGAAGGATGGCCCAGGGATCTTCAGTTCATTGCCTCTTTGGAAGATCAGAACTCTCAGAGAGAGTCCAGCAGGGCTCCTGGTGGGAATTCCTTGCTGGTTTTCCACCCACTGTGAGAGAGAGGGAAAGAAAGGCTCAGTGGGAATGGCAAAGTGGCTTTGTGTGGCTGCTCAGGGTTGGGAAGGACCAGAGCAAAGCAACAGCTCAGGAGCAGATTCCCAAGTGCAGATTCCCAGGAGCAGATTCCCAGGAGCATCCCTGCCTTAGGAGCTCTCTACCTTGCAGAGTCACTTTTGCCAGAGTGTAAAGGAGAGGGAAGGGGACAAAACAGGAACCACACCATGTTGGTGGGATCAACCTCTTCTACTCCCTCCCACTTCCCTGGGGCTCCATCCACAGCTTCACCCCAAAAGGATCTCAGATTATCCTCCCTGGAGGCTCCTACCCATCCTCAGGGTGCCAAGAGACCCCCAAAGTCCCCCGGGAGCACACCTGGGTAGTCACAGTGGTGGATCCTCCTCTTCTCCAGCTCGGGGTTGTTGCGCCTGTTGTACTTGGGGGGCGGCATCACAACGTGGCCCTGGGAGAGGCCCCCGACGCTGTTGGGCCCTGGGGGCATCTGGGACGACTGGACCAGCTTCAGTCCAAAAGTGGCTTCGTAGGACGGCGGGGGAGAGATGGTGTTGATGAGCTCGGGCTGGTTCTCGGGGCTGCCGGGCTGCGAGTTGGGGGGCGAGGGGGGCAGAGTGACCCCCGGGGCGGGGTAGAACTGCCCGGAGATGTTCCCAAAGCTCGCCTGTCCCTGAGCCACGTGTGGGTACTGCTTGAGGGGCCCTGCTGGCTGCACGGGTCTGTGTGCCACGCTGGCCACGGAGCCCGTGGACATGGTGACTCCGCTGAGGCAGCTGATGGCCGTGGTGCTGCTGGAGGAGGACGCCAGGGTGGGAATGTCGGCGCTGGCAGCGCCCAGGGGCAGCTGGAAGAGCTGGGATTGCTGCGGATGGGCCGACAGCGGGATCTCTGCGGGCATCTCCTGCTTGATGAAGATGTTGTTGACCGCCACCGACTGGGGCATGCTGAACACGCTGGTGAAGTCGGGCAGGGTCTGCGTGGGGCCGGAGGAGGACGAGCAGGGCTGGGAGAAGCCGGTGCCAGGCTCGGATTTGATCTGCGGGAAGGGGACCATGGGCTTGGGGGGCCGGTAGAGCCCCGTGCGCAGGTGGGTGGTGTCGGGCAGGATGACGTTGATGTTCACGCTGTAGGGCGCCGAGCTGGGCTTCTCTGTGGAGAAGAACTCGTCCACCACCGAGGCGCTCTCCCGGCGGTACTTCTTGTCTGGGAGCATCGGCATGGGCGGCACCTCGCTGGACAGGTACTTGTCCATCTCTGAGCGTGCCTGCGGCAGAAACACGGACACGGGAGCTGGGAAAGCTGACCTGGACAGCCAGCGGGGGGAGGCCAATGTCCAGCGGGCATTTGAGCGAGCAGGAAATGGAGGGAGCAGTGGTGACGGCCCAGGAACCTGAGCTGAGGTGATTTAGCTCCGGCTCTGACTCAGCCAGGCTCCCCATGGCTGAATCAGCGTCCTCTGCCCCACTTCCCCCCTCCCTATCTCCCTGATAACACCGGGCAGCCGGGAGAGGATGCAGGTAGGACAGAAATCAAACCTGATAAAGGGAAGCAAGCTTTGGGTACAAAGCTTTGGCCACGCAAGCAGCAGGAGTGAGCACTAGGAACGGGATGAATCCAGCCAGGATCACACCTCAGGCACGTTGGATCTGCAGCCCACCCTGGACATGCTGGCTCTGGTCTCCTTTAAACTCAGCAGCCCGAGGAGTGTTTTATTCTGGGACAGTCTCTTTAATGAACTGAGGAATTCTAGGACAATATCTTTAATTAACTGGGAATCATTCAGGCCTAGAAATGTAAGTGATGTTGCCACTAATTCAGTGTGTTCTGAGCCTGAAATAGGAACAGTTCCTGCCTTCCTGCCTCACCTGGGCAGTGACTCAGCCCTGGCCTAACCTTTGTGATAGTTCTGGTTTTACAGAGCTGTTTTTACAAGCCTGGCTCCTCCAAGCTACCAGAATCTCTGGCTTTGGCTCCTTCCCGTCCTGGTTCCTGCCTGCTGGGGCATCCCACTGGATCCAGGCCCAACAATCCAGCACCTTGATGGAGCAATCCTTGAGGAAATCCATCTTCTGGCGCTGGGTGACTCAGGTTCTGCTCGCTGTGGTTGCAGATCCCAGCACTAAAGCTCTCGTGCAGAGCTCCAGCCCTTCATTGTGTGGCTCCCCAAGTGTCAAAGCCCTCATTCCCATGGAGAGCAGCTGGAAAAGGACCAGGTTTCCCTGGCAGGGCCTGGAGCGCACTCCAGGAGCGGGAGCTGAGCTCAGCCCACGCCCTGAGCCGAGGTTTCCAGCCCTGAACTGTGTCACTACAGTGCCATGGGCCAAAGTCAGCCCTGCTGCCACCTCAGGGCTCTTAACAAAGCTGGCTGAGAGCCAAGAGATTTCCTTGCCCTTTCCAGGGAAAGGATCACAGAGCTTCCAGCTCATTCAGAGCCTTTGCACCTCTGGGAGCCGTGCTGGCAACACATGGCTGAGCTGGCTGTCACCCAGGCACGGGGACAGCCACAAATCCACCCTGGGCCACTGGGAAGGAGCTCGGGGAGGCCGGGCTGGGAAGGGCCATGCTGGGGCTGCTGTGTGTACACAGCCTGCTGGGAACCCTACACAATCAGGGAATTGTCACATGTGGAAAACACCCCTAAGGGCATCAACCATGACATGTCTGTCCTCATCCAATGTGGAGGCGCTACAAGTTCCTGTCCTGGTTAAAGGAAGCTCAAAAGCCCCTCTGGAGAAGGAACCCTGGCTCAGGCAGAGGCTAAAGCTGCTTGTGGCCTCATGGGATATCCCAAGTTCAAAGGAATCCACAAGGATCCAGTCCAGCCCCCGGTCCTGCACAGGGCACCCCAACAACCTCACCCTGATTGACCAAACATTCCTGGAGCTGCATTCCCTAGGGAGCCTGGTCAGTGTCCAGCACCCTTTGGATAAGGAACCTTTCCCTGATCTCCACCCTGGCACATCTCTAGCCATTCCCTGGGCCCTGTCCCTGCTGCCTGCTCTCCCTCTTTACCCCGAGGCATCAGCAGGGAAGGGAAGGGACTCGGAGAGCTGCAGCTTCACTCCATCCCCTGCAGAGCTCCAAGCCCTCCCTGCTCCCCGCTGGGCGGGTTCCTCCCTCGGGAGAACCACGGCACAGCCTTGGAGCCCAGCCCTGGGCACTCCTGGCAGCCGGGCTGGCACGGGCCAGGTTCCCTTGGGAATCAGCTCGCCCCGGGCAGCTCGGGATGCCGCACATTCCTGAGCCGTGATCGGCCCCACTTGGCAGGAGCAGGGGCAGGGCAGTGCTGGGTGCCTTTTCCTTCACACTTCCCTTATCTCTGGCATTTCACTTTCTCACCTCCAGTTCCCAAGGGAAGGTCCTTCTGCCGCAGGGGACCAGGCAGGAGAGAAATGGGGAAAGATGTGGAGCTCAGAGGGCCTTTCCAAACTAAAGGATTCCATGGAGGACCCAAATTTCCATGGAGGGTGATGCCTCAGGTTTTAGCTTTTCTATTTTTCAGATTCTGTGCTGCTTTAGTGTGTGGATCTGGGCTTCACATTATGGGATGGGGGGCTCTCTGCACAGAGTAGGGAGACAAAACAATTCCTGCTCTAGCTGGGGACCAAGGACAAATGATCCAAATTCAGGCCCACGAGCACAAACAATGTGAACTGAAGAGAGAAAAACAAGAAGGATGGGACTGCATGGGCTGGAGCTGGAATTGGACAATGAACTCCAATATGCAAATGGAGCAGAACTTATCAAACTGAGAGACCCCGTGACCACTCGTGCATTTTGTGCCCATTTTGGTTCATCTTGGGTGCAGCCCTGGCTGGGCTCTTGTGCTGCCCAAGGTGCATCCATTGAGGAGATCCTTTTAATAAATCCCTGCTTCATTCTTTAGCTCTGTCCAGCCTCTGCTCTAGGGCAGCCCCCAGAAGGCATCAAGGGTCCAAATTTCCATGGAGGGCCCTTGTCTGGCATCACCCAACCTCCCTTTCTCAAGAACCACCCCTCTCTGCAGAGCACTGTCTTTTCCTGGTCTTTCCATTTAAAAAACCACAGTAATTCCCCCTCAGGCTCCCGGAGAAAGGGGTGGTAAGGGACAGCAGTGTCTGTCACCAGACAAGAGGACACCCTCCCTGCCCCCTGCCCTGTGTGTGTGCAGCACCTGGACAACAACAATCCCACCCCATGGAATGCCCCACCGTGCCACAGCTCTGCAGGAACCCTGAGCACCAGCGTCCCTCCCACAGGGACAAATGGGAACCTTTTGTTTGTGGCTCAGAATCACCTGGAAAACTCTGCCCGGCGGGTGCTGGCACCTCCGAGCCCAAAGCACTTCCCAGCCAGTGCCCCAGCCCAATCCAGGGGCTGAGGGAGCTGGGAAGGGGCTGAGCCTGGAGAGGGAGCTGGGAAGGGGCTCAGGCTGGAGAGGGAGCTGGGAAGGGGCCCAGCCTGGAGCAAAGGAGGCTCAGGGGGCCCTTGTGGCTCTGCACAGCTCTTGACAGGAGGGGACAGCCGGGGGGTCGGGTTGTGCTCCAGGGAACAGGGACAGGAGGAGAGGGAACGGCCTCAGGCTGGGCCAGGGGAGGTTAGGGTGGATAGTGGGAAAATCTTCCCCAAAATGGGTTGTCCAGTCCTGGCTGGAGTCCCCATTGCTGGAGGGATTTATCAGCCATGTGGATGTGACACTTAGGGACATGGGTCAGTGGTGGCCTTGGCAGTGCTGGGGAATGGTTGGATTGGATGACCTTAGAGGGCTTCTCCAAAGTAAACAATTCCATGATCCTACAAAGTCCTCAGCTCAGACCAGCACAACTGAGGTGACCAAGTGCCACTCAAGCACTCGGGTACTCCTGGCTGTCACTCCTGTCACAGCCCATGGGGACACACAGATCATGGAGGTGACAGTGACACACTGACTCAGGGGACTGGCAGAGAGGGAGGGACATGTCCCAGCTGGAAGAGGGGATGGAAGGAGGGAGTGGGAATGGGGAGCAGGGAAGTATGGGAATGGGGAGTGGGATATGTCCCAGCTCAGTCTCTTGGGGACTTCTGTGTTTCCTCTTCCCAGCAGGAGCAGGAGGATGCAGGGGAAGGAATGAGGAAAGCTGCTCACCTCCAGGATGAGCGGTGGCATCCGCTGGTCCATCCTCATGGGGTGCAGCTGTGGGAGGCAGGGCTGGGTTAGTAGGGTGTCCTCCTTGCCTTGCCACTCCAAAGACCCCCAAATTCCCCTGGCCAAGGAGGGCAGCACCCCCAGAGCCTCCCACAGCCTCTCAGAGCCCTCCAGGTCTCCAGGTGTCCCCCATGCCAATGGTGTCTCCTCCCACCCCACACCCATGGAAGCAGCTGGTGGTTGCCCACCATGGCTGGAGCCTGTCCAAGCAGGAGGAGGGAAGCCTCTTTGGAAAGAAGAGACAAATGGGAAGTACCAAGCTCTCCCGAGGAGACTGAGGCACGGAAACTTAAATCCCTTTATCAGCCCCACACAGATGACAGTGAGCTCACAAATGCCCTGCACCTCTCCTTTCTCCTGGCTCCACCTCTCCCAGATTCCCAGAGAGGGCTGAGGGCTCTTCCCAGATCCCTCAGACCCAGATCCTTTCTCCAAGGTCAGTGTTCCAAGCAGGCCACAGCCCTCCAGCACCAAGAGGAGGGGAAGAGATCTGGGATTCCTCCAAATCCCAAGCCAGTATTTGCCAGGCTCCTGTGGGCTCCTTCTCATTCCATATGGTTCTCCTGCTCACTGCCAGGAGAGTTTCAGATCTCAGAGCTGGAGACCCCACACCCTCTGCCTGTCCCCCTCCCAGGGGACAGCAGTGACCTGGAATGCTCAGCCCATCCCCCCTCCAGGAAGGAGCCATTTCCTGGCTCTTTTTGGGCAGGATTGAGGTTATCCCACACACAGGGTGCTCAGCTCATCCCAACAGTGCACGAGATGTGGGCTCATGGGGTGAGGCCTCAGAGCCTTGCAGATGAAGAGCCAGCAGGTTTTCAGTGGGATCACAGGCCCAGTTTCCCTCTCAGGCATGGCCAGGCCATCCCTGCCATCCCTGGGGACCAGGATGAGGGCAGGAGGCACAAAACGACACCAACTGCATGGCCACAGGCTGGGATCAGCAGCTCAGGGAAAAGGGGAAACACCAACAAACCTTCTGGGAGGCCAGAGGGACTGGGATCCTTCACAGAGTCCCACAATGGTTTGAGCTGGAAGGGACCTCAAAGCTCATCCCATTCCACTGTCCCAGGCTGTTCCAAGCCCTGTCCAGCCTGGCCTTGGGCACTGCCAGGGATCCAGGGGCAGCCACAGCTGCTTTGGGAACCTGTGCCAGGGCCTGCCCACCCTCACAGCCAGGAATTCCTTCCCAAAATCCCACCTAAACCCACCCTCTTTGATTTGCAGCTGTCTTTACATGCCCAGGAAGGGAAAGCCAACAAGAAACTCCTCACACAGCCAAAGCACTGAATTCCAGGGGGATTTTCCTCCAAAGTCACCCAATTTTGACCCTGCAGAAGGATCTCCTCAACTTGGCAGAGAAAGAAAGCCAAATTAAAAATGAGGAGAAGGCACAAACCAGCGCTTTGTCCACTCCAGAAGGCCACTGGATACCAGTTTGTGTCTCTGGACCAGCAGTGTTACACTCAGCACACCCAAACCTGGTGACTGAAATTCCCTGGAGGATGGGATACCTCAGGAGCAGCCCCTGGGAGAGCTGGAGGGTGTGAATCCCCCAGCCCCAGGAAAACCAGCGGCTTGATGAAGACAGCAATGCCATCCCACATCTCCAGAGGGGATTTTCCAGGAGCAGGATTTTCCAGAGGGTCATAGGTGTGGACATGAGCCCCTCCAGCCCTGGCAGTTCCCATAAATCCTGCAGGAGCCTGGGATTTATCCCTGGATCAGATGTCCCAGCCTGGGGGAGCTGTTATCAGCACAGAGATCGATTCAAGCAGAGTCCAACACAAACATTTCTCGGCAGGCCCCAGATAAACCCGGATTAACCAGGAGCACGGAGAGCTGGGCTGGGGCTGGGGTGGGACTGGCTGTCCCCTGATTAAACACCTCCTAATCTGCAGGTGATAAATGACAAACGGCCCGAGGAGGAACATCAGGTGTTGTCACCTCCCGGGCAGGCAGGGACCAGAAGGGCAATCGGTGTTTGCTAAACAGGCACCAGAGCTCTGAGCGGGGCACAGGGAGGGCTGGCCGTGTTTCACCAGCCCTGTGCCCGCTCCTGCCTGGCCAGAGCTCCCAGCCCATCTCCCACATGGGAGATTCCCTCTCAGCTGCATCCAGGCTCCTGCTCACACCCAGCCCCCAGCGTGGGGGGCTGCAAAGAGCTTTGGGGACAGGGGGCAAGAAAAATGTCACCTGTGTCCATGCTTGGCAGGCAAGAGCATCCAGCCCTGAGGCCCAGCATCAGAGGGATGCGGAACTGCTGAAGTAAATCCAGAGGAGGCCACAGAGCTGCTCCAGGGCTGGAGCCAGGTTGGGAGAGCTGTGGGGGATCACCTGGAGAGGAGAAGGCTCCAGGGAGAGCTCAGAGCCCCTGCCATGGCCTAAAGGGACTCCAGCAGAGCTGGAGAGGGACTGGGGACAAGGCATGGAGGGACAGGACACAGGGAATGGCTTCCCACTGCCAGAGGGCAGGGATGGATGGGATCTTGGGAATTAGGAATTGTTCCCTGTGAGGGTGTAGAGGGGTTGGGATGGAATTCCCAGAGCAGCTGTGGCTGCCCCTGGATCCCTGGCAGTGCCCAAGGCCAGGTGGACACTGGGGCTGGGAGCAGCCTGGGACAGTGGAAGGTGTCAGGGTTGGGTGCCCTCTAATGTGCCCCCAGCACAAACGAGTCCCTGACTCGATGATTCTCTGACCTGGCGGTTCAAGGAATGGGGGAGCAGCAGGAGGTGGCTCCAGCAGGAAGGGGGGCCTGTCCCAGGATGAGGGACCCCGGGGCACAGGTGTGGCACAACGGCCATGCCACAACCCAGCCCGGGCTCCTTCTCCTCCGTGCACCTGCACGAAACTCCAGCCTCCAAGGGAATCAGCAAACAATGGGCAGGATAATCATCAATCAACCCCCCTGGCACAGCCCTGGCAGTGCCCCTTTGCAGGCTCACTTTATAAATAGCCTGTATTTATATCCAGATTTGGTTCAATATCAGCATTTATTGTCTCCTGGTTAAATATTGACCTGGGTAAATATTTGATCCTCTGATCATTTGGGTTTGATACCGACCTGGATCGACGTTATTTTCTGTTTGTTCCTCAAGTCTCCTGGAACTCTCTGTAAAACGGGATTAGCAAAGAAAGCCCCGGGACTCTTCCTTTCAAGTGCCCAACGTTTGGCTGCTGTAAACAACAAAGCCTATCCCAGATGGAATCCGAGCTCCCGTGGGAATGTGCTGGGCTCAGGGAGGCCCTGCATGGGCTCTGAGCAACTCCAGGGTGAGGGGCTGCCCTCGAGGCATTTGTGGATTATTTGGGTTGGAAAACACCTCTAAGGTGAGCAAGCCCAAGATTTACATCATCCACCCCAGACGTTTCCCCTTTTCCTGCCCCAGTTCCCTGCCAGACAAAGGATGTCAGACCCATCCTGCCCAAAGCCGGGTGTTCAGAGCACTCCAGGATGAGGTGCTGCTCCCAAATCGTTCATGGAATTTCATTCATTCTCCAGGTTTGTGCCCATGGCTGACCCAGGAGATGGGGAGCGTTATTCCAGTGCTCTTTCCTGCCCTTGTGTTGGAACTCCCTGAGCAGATGATGACTTCCCAGGGAAGTGGGGAATCTCCATCCAGGCAGCCCCACTCCCAGACCTGCTGGCTGTGTTTGCAATTCCTTCCCTCCAGCAGCTGATAAAGGCTCCCTCAAAGGCAATCCAGCTCAGGAATTTATCACCGGGATCATGCCACAATCCCAAAGGCCAAGGGAGCCAGGGAAAACAGCCTCATCCAACTCCAAGGTCAAGGGGCTGGAAGAGGAGCAGCTGGGAACAGCCAGGCTCCAGCAGCAAGCAGAAACCTTTTCAAAAACAAAGCCATAAATGGAGTGAAAAATAACAAAACCTTGGAGACATGGAGCGGGAAGGGAATGACACAGGAGCATCTCCAGAGGTGAGGGTGGAGGGGGTCTCATGTCGATTTTGGGGTTGATTCACATTTTTTGGGGTAGATCCCACTTCACCAACAGCCACCTGAGCCCTGGATGGAGCTGGAAGAAAGGTGGGAATCAGGGATGGCCTCTATCCTCTCCCATCACTGCACACAGTGTGAGGACAACTCTCAAAGCGTGGGAAGGGAGGACATGAGGATTTAAGGGAGCTGGACTTCCACAGCTTTCAGAATATTCCCACTCCATGATTTCTGGGCTGCTCCTGCTCAGCAAAGGCTGAGGTGAAGCATTTGAAGGCAATCAAGGAGGTTTTCCATCAAAGCTCCTGGAGGTCGACCCGGGCTGATTCCTGGTGTGTGCTGCTACAGCCCCTTGGAGGGTCTTTTGGGAAAAATGAAATTATTTAATGTCATTTCAACTCCTGAAAGATTGAGAAGCTTGGAGCTGCTCCAGCCTCAGCCAAAACACTCAAGGAACCCTGGGTTACACGGGCACAAATCAGCAGTGGATTTGGAATTAGTCAGGAGCAGGGCCCCCCTGCAGCTCCGCTGCTCCTTGTAGACTCAGCTCCAGCCCAGAACTGCCTCTCCCTGACTCTTGGATGCCACAATCCCCAGGATTACCTGGACAGATTTATCCACCCGTCCCTGCCCACAGGACACTGGGATTGTCTTTGAGCCTTCCAGTTCCCCCAGTTCCACATCCCTGCCCCGGGTCCTGAAGGTGCTGTGGGAGAGGTTTGGAGCTCTCAGGGATCATCCCCAGCTGGTGGGATTCACTCTGCCTCCCTCAACCCCTGTGGCAGCTCACTCTCCTCTCCAAGGCACGTTCCCAGGGGCTGACAATGGAATGAGTCACTGGCTGCTTGCCGGGGCTTGTGGAGCCCTCCTGGCATCCAGATCCCATCAGAGAGGCCACAAATCCCGTTCTTCCCAGGCAAACACCAGGCAGACCCCGGGCAAGGTCAGCTTTCATGTGCAGACAGCAAATTCCCCCCATCCCTGCAGCCCCAACTTCCTCCCAGAGCAGTTGGGAAAACAAAAAAAACCCC